ACGTGTAAGCGTGTTCGGGTGAGTGCAAAAGGGTCACGAGGCATGGCGGTATTATGAAACAGCGAATGCTGTCCGTCATGCGGTAGAACTTCAAACAATCTCCGATACAATTCTGAAACTTTAGGAAGGTGTACTGGAGAGGTGAACAGTTAACCACCTTCAAATTCCTTCATAATAATAAACACTTATTCCGCCAAGTTAATTCAGGCAACCGCCGACTGGCGAGTCACTACTAAACCAGAAGCTTTGGTTCACCCATTCTTGTTGGGCTTTTCAACAACCACTGGCGCCGAGAAGCACATTCATCCCCAGCCACAACAATAATAAAGTCCAAGTTAATGCAAAGGATGGAGAGGATTCCCGCCAAGCAACATCTGGAAGTGTTTCAGACGCATCTGCATCAGAAAAAATGGACGTTGCCTGCCAGAGATCAACTAGGAATTAACGATATGCGGCGAACGACCATCTTCTAAGCCAAGTTCTCAGTGCTCATAATAAAAAAATCAGAAATGAATGCACAATGAAAACCCTTCAATTGAGCAAGCTATGTAAAAAGCCTTTCCTGCTGTTTGGGTCGATTTCCACCGAGGCTGCGAATTTTTCATAAGTGGATCAACTGAATTAAGCAAATCTGCCAAACTCCCCTAACAATATGCAAAAATATTTTTCGTTCATTGCGTCTAAAAGAGCCATATAGTTTACGAGCATGCAATAATAGGCCTAGACCCAGTCCTTTACTTCCCAAAGAAAATTAGAAGCGAACGGGCAGCAGAGGTAAAGAGCAGAGGGCAATCTACCACCCACTCGGACGGGAAATAATGCTCAATGAGTGTAGCTACAAAGATAGCGGTCAGGGTTCTGATCATGCGAATGAAGGCAAATAAACCCGAAATAGCTCTGTATCCCTTTACTCATATCTATGTCGACAACCTTCCTCTGGTGGTTGATACCACTGGAGGAAAATAGTTTCGATCGTGTCGCAAGATGCAAGCATTGATAAAACATACACTTAAAGCGTTGTGTGATTATGTTGCTAGTTTGAATGTGTCTATGCGCTACAGTTAAGGACTAATGGCTTTTAAGAGACAAAAGGCCACTGAATATAAACAACTACAAAGGGTGAAGGTGCATGTTGAAGAAAACAGACACAAGTAGCTAAAGGAAACCCGTAAGCCATGCTACTTACTACATAGATCTCCAGGAGCCGTCTCACGGCTAACGCTAGACAGGTGTGCGTAAACGAATAGAGAAAACTGTCCCAGGAAAATTGACAAAACAATAAATATCTGGACCCTTACAAGACTAAAAATAAAAGGAGCCCTAGGAAGCAGGTAAGATACAACTGTTACATCCAGAAAAAGTAGAGTATAGACCAGGAAAGTAGGTGGAATGAGAAGAGGAAAAGAGTTAACCGAGGGTAAGAAAGAAAATTTTAAACAGCAGGGAGCCTGTAATTAATAGGTATGCTACTCCACAGAAATTGGCAACAGCAATAAAATGATAGTGTCACCTGCAAAACGGAATCCAGGATGCTTTTATGAATATTTGCAGCAGCAGCGAGGCCCGCAAATGCGAAAAGGACAGCTCGGATAGAGGTAAATGCAAGATTTGCCGCGATCAGACCACCGTATACCATGAGGTAGAAGCTCGTGTCATGTTCCGGTGCAGACTTCACTTCGGAAGTAGCACCGTCAAACCGTTGGCGCGACAACCAGACAAGAGAATGCAGATTGAACAAGTCGAAACGTGGGAAAGTCGTCATCCCCGTATAGCTGATATCGGACGTTGTTGTATTAGCTTCATTCTTCATCCAGAATGATAGCCAGAAATCTAAGCCATTTCTAGTTGCTAATTAAAGAGGAAAATAACA